AATCCAAACAGGAGAGCTGCATGGGTTGCATTAAGCCCAGGTATGGACAGCCCTTTGTTGAGAGCTGCTTCCATTTGCAAGACATGAAACTGGTGTAGCTTTCCCTGTTGATTAAAGGAAGAACTTCATCTGCTAGACTTCTGTGCATCATGCTGATGTGAAAGAACAGCAGAAAAGCAATGGGGGGGGGGAGTGTCAAGCCAGCTGCAGTCAGTAGGCCAGCCTAAAAGGCGATGCCACTGTCCACCTCGGCCTCCTTTCTCTGCCCTCATTGGCTTGCCTGAGAGCCAAGTTGAAATAACAACAGCAGCAGTCGCTCAAGTCAGGTGTTTGATGAGAACATCCTGTTGGCTTTTAATGCTGTGTGTTATGTCGCGAAGCCCCAGGAACGTGGTTGCTTGGAGGAGAGAGCGGTGTGATGTCAGCTGCTTCTGGGGCCACCATTCCCTTCCCTCTCGTGCCTGAGCCCTGCTGCACTCATCGCTCTGTTTCCTTTCAGTCTGTGCAGAGGGCTTCAGCGGCCCCTCCTGTCATAGGGCCTCGGCAGCCCCACCACGACCTGCCTGTGACTGCAGCGGCCGATTCCAGACAACGGCTGAGAAAGGTGAGGGAGCCGGCAGTCGTTGTCACAGAGCCTCTCTTGGGGAGCAGCAGTGGCTCAAGAAACTCATTTTTTCGTGGCCTGTGCCAACATTCCAATATGCCTGGCAGGCTGTGGCCACTTAGGAGTGCACAAGTACCTGCTCAGTTGCTGAGCACCAAACCTGGATGATTGTGGTTCATCCTAGCAGCAGTGTGTGTGTGTGTGTGTGTGTGTGTGTGTGTTTGTTTGAGAGAGAGAGAGAACGTGCACATCTTAGTCATACATACCTGTGTGTAGCTGCTCCCAGCAGGACATCCTGTTCCTGCCAGCTGTCCTGGGCAACCCCAGTGACAGAAACCTGCTTGTTGCAGAGGCGGGTGGGGACAGCGGGCACAGAGTAGTCTGTTTACTTTCCTGACAGAACAGGTTCCTATGCTTTCCCTTTGACGTGGCATAGCTGCAGTCCTATCCCCACTTACCTGAGAGTAAGTTCCGTTGAATTCAACAGGACTCATTTCTGTGTAGACACGATTAGTATGGTGCTGTTAAACATGATCTTCCCTCTCACACTGGAGGTGATGAATTTCTTCCCCCTTCTCCTGGGTCTCTCTCTCCCCCCACACCCCCAGCCCCTTCCTATCCTTGCCTGCTTTCTTTTCCTCTTGAGAAAGGTGCCATCAGAAGGTGAGCCTGATGCTATGCTGGGCCCTGCAAAATGGGGGGGGGGGGGCAATATGTCTTCACTGAGTCGTGGAGAAGCAGGGGTAGAGGGAGGCCTAAGTGGGGTGGGTGGAAATATAGACTTGCATTTTTGTGGCAGCACCAATTGCATTTCTTAGATAACTTATTCAGGAAGCAAATTCGCTCCTTCGGTTGACAGTGAATGACTTTGGCGGACTCTCTTGCGCCTGGTGCGCTTCTCTAGCCAAGAAGATCTAGTCCTTAGATCTTCTTGAGAATGGAACTTTCCTACCCAGCCTTCAGCCCTGTACATCTGGGGCTTGGTTCTGTTACTTCAGCAATGGTGGAAAGAAACACAGGCTGAGATGCTTGGGGGTGGGAGAGGCATTCCAGAGCTGTGGGGCAGCCCCTTCCCTAGCCCTTGGAGGGTGTTTTCACCAGAGTCTGGCACTGTCCAGGCCTCCTACCATGTGTGCTGACCCCACCATTTCCTGGTTCTGCCATCCTTCCTTTGCACAGAGTATGGGTTTTGCGGTGTGTGTGGGGGGGGGGGAGTTGACTTAAACCAGTTTACACTGGTGGTAGCATAGGCATTTGCATAGTTACATCCTGCTGAGTAGGAAGAGGAGGCGGTGAGTCTGAGGTTTTGCCTGAGACAAATAACTAAGGGGCCTTTCTTGTTGCAGTCTGTGGTGTCCCAGTGCAGACGTGTGTGGAGGACTGCCAGCAAATGACAACCTGGAGCAATTGCTCGCTCTGTCTGCCTGCCTGTACTGGTAAGCAAAGAGCCCCTGTCCCGTGAGCTGGGTTGGGAGCACATGGGCAAACCCTCCGCATTCTCTGGGTCCTCATTCTCTGGGCTCAGATTTCCAAGGATAACAGCTTTCTTTCTTAAAACAATATCCCTGGTGTGTTATTCCTTGGCATGGCACCACATAAATAGTCTGAGTCCTGCATATCCTTACAAGCCACTTTGCAGGACCTCAATCTTTCTGCAAGGTAAACAGAAGAAAAATAAACATTGCAAAGCCCAAGCTCCCCACTGAAGCAGAGCTGCTTGCCAGACCTTGGCTTCTTTGCATATGGAGAGGAATTTTCTAAACCTGCCTGAGCCACTGAAAACCGGCCTTACCAGGCTCCATTCTTCTTCATTTTTTTGTTTTGTGCATTTGTACACTTTCCTGGTTGTGCTGGCAAGCTGAGCAGAGGTGCATGGCCTGCTATTTACAGTAGGATCCCAATGGATGCAATGTTAAGTGTTGTTGAATTTGGGCCTGGTGATGTGAAGGTGGTGAAGCACTATGGGGCCTCTGGAAGCCAGTACCTCTTATTTGGGTGGGTGGGGGACACTACAGGTGGCCAGGCTGTGTCTTGTGGCCACTAGTACAGCACAAGTCCAGTGACACTAGATCCATACACTGGCTGCCCAGCTCCTTGCCACTTACCTGTTGATGGGGCTCGTGGGCTACTTCCTTGCTAGTTTCGTCTGACTGGTTGCTGGCTGCTTCCTTTTTTCCAGAGCACCAGCCCTAAAAGTTAGGATTGTGCTTTGTATCAGCAGCTCCACCTCCTGCCCCTGCCACGCCCCTCCTCTTTAGTTCTATGTTTAACAAATGTATATCCTGCCTTTCCTCCCAAAGATGGCCAGGGTGGCAGCAAGTAACAAAACATTAGCAAAAACCTTTCAAAACATTTTAAAATGCTTCCAGTGCAGAGGCAGACTGGAAAAAGTCTCAAACTGAAAGTCTTGTTGGAAGAGGAAGGTCTTCAATAGAGATGGTGTGCTGCCTCTCCCAGGAAGGAGCCCTCTTTGGGTAGCTGAAATGCTTCTTCAGCTGACAGCTTTGCGCTGGCAGGAAGGGGTCCAGCACAGGACCCTCCTCCCTCTTCAGGTTGGCCTGGGCTTGGAGAAGTCGGCAGGTATGGAACCAGCCACCCAGTGTGCTCTCTTTTCCTCTACCCCCAGACGTGACCCTGATGAGCGGCCTAGATCCTGAGGAGCTGGCCCTCATCACCATGGTCCAGTACAAAGTGCTGCACTCCCTCAACCTCACCGCAGAAGACGAAAGGGACCGGGGAAACTCCTCCAAAATCATCTATGATGCCAAATACCCATGATGCTGTTTCCGCATCCTGGAGGGAGGAAGGAAGGAAAGGGTCAATAAAAGGTTTTTTTGGGGGGGGGGTTCATCCCCTCCTATCTTCTTGAGGCTTGCATCCTGAGTGTTCCTGTTTCCAGTGGGAGTTTGGCTGCTTCCCAGCAGCAAGGGCGAAGGGCGAAGGGGCAAATTTGGGTGTCCCATTTGTAGAGGGAGGGAGTTGTGGCACCTTTCCACTCCGGTTGGCCAGCCAGATGCCTCAATGGGAAACCCACCAACAGGACCTGCGTGCAAGAGCAACTCTCCTCTCCTTTGGCTTCCAGCAATGGCTATTCAGAAGCACCCCCCTCCCCCCATGGCTGTCGGCACCTGCAACTGTGCAACTGGAAATGGGCCAGGAGCTGGCCCGCCTTATGGCGAACAAAAGCTGCTTTGTCAGAGTTTTCATCCACTTCCTCCATCGTCCTGTCCCCTGCAGCAGACAGCCAAGTCCCTCTCTGTCAGGAGCTGGAGTCAAGCGTAGGCAAGGCCCTTGGGAATCCCGGTTCCAGCCTCGTGAGCATGTTGTTGCATCATTCCTCCTGCTTCTCCTCAAATTTGCCTAGTCCTTCTCCTGAAGCCATCCAAGCTGACTGTCACCCACCTCTTGTGGTGTGAAACCCCTCAGCTATAACTATGCCTTGTGTTTCAAGGCTGACCTTACCTTACAGGCTTCTTGCTGCGAGCCTGAAATGCTGCTCCGAGCAGCTCCTTGGAGGAAGGGCAGGGTGAAGTAAAACCAGTTAACTTGCCTGGCATGATGTGCCAGGGCAGCCTGAGAGAAGGAGCCGAGGGGTGATGCCAGGCAAAGCCGGGAGCTGGCTATCCCAGGGCAGCCTGGTGTGGCTCTTTTGGAGGAGACAGGCTGGGCCCAGGAGGAAGCTGTGGCTTTGCCCCTTGGCAGGCGAGGCTGCCCTGTTAAAATATTTGCTAAGGAAGAGCGAAAGCTCCACCCATCATCAGCTGCACCCAGAAGAGCAGCCAAGTTAATAGCTGGGCAGAAGCAAGGCTGGCATGCAGGACTCTGCTGGAGCAAGGGCAGTTGCTAAGAAGGGGAGCCCCAGAATTGCCCTCCTTTTGCAGGGAAAGGCTGGTGGGTTGGGAGGTTGGGAGCACAAGCTGTGAATCCTGGCCCAGGAATCAGGGTGGGCATGAAGAGGAGGCTCCATGGCTTGGTGCGGTAGAAGCCAGGTCCTCCCCTCAGGCTCTAGCCTTACCCGCTGCAGTTGCCTTCAGACCTTTGCCACTTTCACCCTCCTCCTCCTCTACCCATCCCCAGCTGCTCTGCCTGCCCAGCTGTTTGCAGCTGTACCTCTGGGGAAATCAACTGCATGGAGCACAAGCTGCGCTGGGTGCCGGAGGACCTTCCAGCCAATGCCACCACCATCCTGCTGGACTACAACCGCATCGCTACCCTCCAGAACCGCACCTTTGTCGTCCAGGGCGCCCTGCGCCACCTGAGCCTTCGGAGCAACATCCTCGGGGTCATCCACCCCCAGGCCCTGGCTGGCCTTAGTGAGCTGCGGGAACTGGACCTGAGTGGGAACTACCTGATTGTCCTGCAACCCAATACTTTCCTCCCCGTGCCGAGGCTGAGGATGCTGAACCTGGGGAACAACAAGCTCTTGGCGCTGGAGCCAGAGCTGCTCAGGTCCTTGCCCCACCTTGAGTCTCTGTTTCTGCAGGGCAATGCGCTTGTCTCACTCTCGCCCGACCTCTTCAGCAACCTGCCTTCCTTGCACTTCCTCAGGCTGCACAACAACCCCTGGGGGTGTACCTGCGCCATCCAGCCCCTCTACCAGTGGCTCACTGACAACGCGGAGAAAGTCCCAGGTGAGCAGGACTCAACAGGGAAGGGGTTGGAAAGCTCACCTGTAGCTGGTGGCTTTAACAACAACAATCACCTTTATTTATTGTTTTATTTCATGAAATTTATAAACAGTAGACCCACAACTTAGGCACATTTAACTTGTGCACATTTAGCTTTATACGCTTGGCAAAAAAAAATATTTTAAATCTTTTTTTAAAAACGGGTGTCTGGGGGGAAAATGATGTTGACAATTCCACCAGCTTCCACCAGCACTCGTGTTTTGACTCTACACAATTTTGGATTTATGCACTATCCCTGAAATGTAACCCTCATGTAAGATAAGAGTTGACAGTACTGCTTGACTGTAGAAAACCTCAAAGTGGTTGAAATTTTTATTATCAGTTATCTCCACTGCCCTTCAGAGTTCCAGCAATACAAGTCTGTGAACACAGTTTCTCAAAACAAATAAATAAATTGGAGCCATAACAAAAAATTTTTAGGGGGAGGATTCAGTTTTCCCAAGCAGCTTGCCAAAAAGAATACATGGTGTGTGGTGGGTGAAGCAGGGCAGCTGGACGCAACTGGCTTTTATTATAGCACCATCAGCTCCTTTAGAAATGACTAACCATCTGTTTGTTCATTTAGGGTTGTATCCAACAAAGTTCAAAGCAGACCCATTTGAACAAATGAACCTAAGTTAGCCATGTACATTAGTTTCAGCGGGTCTCCTCTGAGTAGGACTAACATTGGATACAATCTTTATTTCTAAATTAGATTCCTTCCCGACCAGACACCCGGGGGGGCGGGGGGTCACAACTATCTCCGGTTTGGCAATTAATCATGTAGAAGACATATCGATGGATTTTTATGGAGGTTATGCACCACATGGAACTGCTGTTTTGATTTCTTTTCTGGCTAACTTTAGAACAGCAGGTGCCTTGGTCTCCCTAAAAGGTCCTAGCAGAAGCAACCTCCAAGCAACCCACGTTAATTCCTTTGTCAGGCAGCTTAAGAGCTTAAACCGGTTTGTGCTTGTTGGTTAGCAATCCTCTGGTCCAACATCCCCAACTGCTGCAATGACCACAGCCTTGCCCTGAGTCTCTGTGTCTCTCCCTTTTCCAGAGGTGGACTCTGTCTCTTGCAAACGCCCCACACAGCTCACCCAACATCCCATCGCTGCCATTGGGAACGAGTCCTTTGCTCGCTGCCGGGAGCCCTGGCTGAACGTAAAAGATTATGCTTTCTTCCTGCTCATTGGCCCGTCCACCTTCTTAACCAGCATCTGCATCTGCATCCTCTTCGGCTCGCTAGCGGTGGCCCAAGCAAAGATCCTCAAGGTGTCGTCCATCCGGTCAGGAGCCCTGGCAAGGCGTGCAGAGCGCGGTCCTCGCTAGCCAAGCTGCACCTCCAAACTGCCACTGTTTAGATGGCTCCCCCTCAGTCTCTATGGTGTAGTTACGCTGTGGCCCTGCAACGTGGGTCACTGTTACTCCTGGTTTGTTGGTGGTATTGAGGGTTTACCTGGATGGGAACGTGAGAAAGCCTTGGGGAAGAGTGTGGGTGTGCAGCTAGAAAGCAGGAGGCAGGTTTGCAGTGAAGTGGCAGCAAGTGGCTTCTGGACCTTTCCTCCTACCCCACCCTTTGACCCTGGAAGAAGTGACCCCCACCAGCTCAGTTCCAAGATCACAAGCCAGCCTTGAGTCAAAGGTGACATGCTAGAAGTTTGTGAAATTATAGCCAGCACAGAGAAAGGACAGAGAAATGAAGCTGAATGTGGGAAAATTCAGGGCAGAAAAAAGACAGTCTTTCTTCTTGCAGCACAGAGCTAAACTGTGGAACTCGCTTCCATTGGGAGGCAGTGATGACCACCAACCTAGATGACTTTCAAAGAGGGTTAGCCAAATTCATGGCTATTGGTGGCTACGAGCCATGATGGCTAAGCTCTGCCTCCACAGTTGGGAGGCACTAAATGCTTCTGAATTACCAGCTGGTGGAAACCACAAGAGGGGAGAAGGCGCGTGTGCTCAGGTCCTGCTTGTGGGTTTTCCAAGGTGAGAACGGATTCTGGACAAAATGGGTCCCCACTGGCCTGATCCTGCAGGGCTCTTTTCATGTTCTTGCCAATAGAAATGTGACTGGGTGGAGCAGTGTTGACACCTGCAGCTGTGGGCAGAGGCAGTGCTGAGCACCCTTCTTCTGCTCTGCTGCGTGTCAGCACCATCACTGGCTAGAGCGTGTTTTGCAGCCGCTAGCACAGCAGAGGTCAGGGGGAGCCAATCAGCTTCCAGCTAGCGCTCTAAAGCAGGGGTCAGCAAACTTTTTCAGCAGGGGGCCGGTCCACTGTCCCTCAGACCTTGTGGGGGGCTGGACTATATTTTGAAAGGGGGAAAAACTCACGAATTCCTATGCCCCACAAATAACCCAGAGATGCATTTTAAATAAAAGGACACATTCTACTCATGTAAAAACACACGCTGATTCCCGGACCGTCCATGGGCTGGATTTAGAAGGCAATTGGGCTGGATTCAGCCCCCGAGCCTTAGTTTGCCTACCCATGCTATAAAGCTATCAGCTGCTGGGCCGACTCCTTCGTCTGAGACCTGATTTCTCTTCAGTTTAAGAAACCTCCTTGGCACTTGTCCTCTTTGCGTAGCACAGCAAGTGTTCCGAGATGATGCCGCATAAGCCCCTGAGGAAGGGTGACTTGCCCACTAACTGCAAGCCTGCAGCAAAAGGTAGGGTTCAAACACAGAGACCAGCAACCAATCCTGTGGCACACCCAAATCTGTGACTCGGAGATGGCTGGTTGGGTGGGCTGACTTCTCAGGATGGGAAGGATACAGCGAGGCCTGAGCCAGCACACACCTCTGCACAAGTTTCTGTTGCACTTAGGAGAGCTTTAGGGTCTGAACAAACAGAGGGGAGAGGGTGGATGTAGCAGGCCAATTCAGCTCCTTAGATGGGGATGTGGGTCGATGCTATGCCTAGTCTGGTGGTAGAGACAGAGGTGTCTACTGGATGCCTCCCATGGTGACTTCAAAATGACTGCCTTTTCATTCTGGAGGTTGGAAAGCTGCTGACCCCTTTCAGCATGCAGCTGGGCCCATGCAAGGCTGCTCCCCCAAATGGGTAACCAGAGACCGAATCTTACTCTTCCGCACACATTCCCACCTGTCTGCTGCACAGTTGCCTAGAATTCTACTGCTTGGGGTGGAAGTTCACTTTATTCACTGGTTGCTAGAAAAGAGGTGCGTCTAAAGCTGGTGATGCAAAAGGAAATTAGCTTCCTACTTAGAAACGTCACTGCCAGACAGAGTAAGCAACGCTGAGCTACATGGGAAAATAATCTGACCTTGGGAAACGATAGGCTCCCATGTTTCCCAGAGCCAGGAAAAGTGGTGCATTCTTGCTATTTCCCTAAAATTAATTGTCAATTTATTGAGGAAGGGGTGTTCCCATTTGATAAGTTTTAAAGTAATAAAACACGGTCCACTTTGCTCTGCACGTGCTCAGAGGTGCTGTCAGTAGGCCAGCCAACAGCATCCATGCAGCAGAAGTCTTGTATATAGCAGCTGAAACCTGGACAGGGACACTGTGGCCCAGATAGCCAGCCCTGCTTCACTTCCTGCTGTGTATTACTCCCAGGTCCCACAGCACTTCCTCTGTCTGAGCCATCTGCTGCGGTCAGAATGCAGCAGGGTAGGATAAGATGCCACTTCCTTTCAGGCAAAGCAAGCTAAATTTGGCCTCACCATTCAAACTAGGGGCAGCCTTGTGGCGAAAAGCTACACTTCCAGGTTTCTAGTCCCTGCCATCTGCCTTCCGGACACCTATCTCACCCGCTCCCTGTTTCTGCCTCCTGCGTAGTCCTTCAGCTGCATGCAACTGTCAGGTCATGGCTACAAACTCCTTTGCAGGTTCCCATCTCTGCTCCACACCACCTGCAGCTGTTGCAATTCGACCTCGACACCACTCCAGCACATGCCGTGGGACAGGTGGTGTTCTTAGGGTTGCCGTTTTAAAAGCAGTAGCTGTCAGGAGCTAGAGTCAAGCATTAGGTCAGCTACCAAAGCAAAGCACGGTGTCAGTGAAGTTAACTCCTTATTCGAGAAACTGAAACGGCACAGGCCTAGTGGTCCCAGCAACTCTTCCCAGTAGGTCTTGCTCCAACAAAGCAGTTGCGAGGAGGTCCCTGCCTTCCCAGAACTTCCTAAGGCTCCTTCTCTCCAGGGTCTTGCCCAAGCAGTCACAAACTGCTTGCACACAGCCCCTCTCTGCTCTGACCTCTTCAGGGTGTGGGGTGTGGAGCTGGTCCCAGCAGAAAGGGGAGGTTCCCTGGCATCTTCAGCAGTCTGCCTCCCCATCCATCTTGGCCTGCCTCCTCTCCAGCCTCTGATTCTGGACTGCTCTCTCCCTGCTTACTAAACCCTGTTAACCCTTCAGCTTCCAACCCCTCCTCCTTCCAGTCTTCTCCCTCTTCTCCCTCAGACCACTCGTCGTCATCCCACCTCCAGTCACCTGACTCTGAGCCTTCTGGATGGAAAACTTCAGTTCGCCATATTCAGGCATTCTCCCTGAGGTTTCAGAAACTTTGAATGCCGACCTTAGGAAGCGTCAGGCACTCCCCGAGCTATCCTTGGGGAAACAGACTTAAAGTTGCAGCAAGTTGGGTGTGACGACTAGAGGTGAGTCAGAAACGAATGTGGACAGCAGACAGCAGGGTTTGGCAGGCAGCCCTGTACGAAGGCAGTCGCCCTGCTGCACTGGTTTGGCTACATTAGCTGGCAGCCAGTTAACCCTAACACACAAACATTTCTCTTTCCAGACAGTCACAGTTCAGAAGGCACTTCAGTTCCTTACTTTCCAAAGTCCATCTGTGCAATATAAGGGCTTATACACATGACCCTTTCTCCTCTCTTTCCAGGAACGGTCTGTGATTTAAAGCTCCATTTCCCCCCCCCCTTTTTTTTTTTTGCTCTGGAGCTTTCCCTGCAAAAACTCGCTCTTTAAAGCTCAATCGTAAAGCAAACAGCAATCTGAGTAAAAACTGAATTGACATTTGCTCTGATCCAGATTTAAAGAGCGGGGTTTTGTGGGGAAAGCTCAGGGCAAAACAAAGGAGAAACCATGCTCAGACACGGTGTGTTAAAGCACAGATCAGTGCCTAGAAAGAGCGGGGCAAAAGGTAAATGTGGATAAGGAAAACCTAAAAATAAAAGCCCACCTGTAAAAAGGTGTGCAGGTACATCCCACATGGGAAGCAAGCAAGGGCTGTGTCACTGCTGCATCTCATGGACCCAAGAACAGAATTTATGTTTTGTGTGTGTGTTGAGCAGTTATGCAGAGTGGGTATTCCCTGGCCATAGGCAATAATTTAGTGAGCAGAATAATAATTGCTCTGCAGACACAAAACAGAGAATGCAGCCATTAAAAGGAGAGCCAGTGTGTTTTCACCCTGCAGTCTCTGCACTGCAGAGGGTTGGACTACATTCCAATTCTCTGATCCTCCAACCTTTATTCTTCCTTTGGAGCATGTGCCAGGCCCTGAATGAAGTGCTGGTTTTTGAACTTGCTTTTGATCCACCCCCACCCCAAGCTTCAGGTATACAGCATGTTTATCCAGTTACGGTTCATTCCATTGGAAGGGCTCTCAGTGGAATAGCCTCTGCTTTGCCTGCAGGATGTCCCAGGTTCAACCTTCACTGGCATCTCCAGGCAGGGCTGAGAAAGATTCCTGGCCTGAAACCCAGGAGAGCTCATAATACTGAGCTAGACGGACCAGTAGAGGGAGGCAACTTCCTGTGTTCAGCGCCTTTTTAAAGAGAAACAAACTGGATGTCTGGGAAGAAGTCGAAACAGTGCTCTGCGCAAGAAGGTATGTGTGGTTTGCTGACTGCCACAAAGGCCTGCCAATCAACACTCTACAGCTTGATGGGGGTTGAGAAAGGGCTTCGTAAGAAAGGCCAACCAATCATCACTCTGCGCAGCTGGATGGAGAGGGAGGCGGCTTTGGGTTGCCACAGTTGCCAGCTAGCTGTTGAGATTCTGCACAGCTGTATCCTGCCGAGGACAGAAAGAAATGGTTGGTTCTACAGTGGTACCTCGGGTTACATACGCTTCAGGTTACAGACTCCGCTAACTCAGAAATAGTACCTCAGGTTAAGAACTTAGCTTCATTATAAGAACAGAAATCGTGCTCCGGCGGCGCAGCGGCAGCAGGAGGCCCCTTTAGCTAAAGTGGTGCTTCAGGTTAAGAACAGTTTCAGGTTAAGAACGGACCTCGGGAACGAATTAAGTACTTAACCTGAGGTCCCACTGTATTTCGAAGGCTGGAAGCCCAGAAAGGAACAATGGCAGCACCATACGAAATCTGTACATTTGTGGGCAGCCTTTC